GGTGAGACAGGAGGAGTGCTTGAGGCCAGGAGTTCAAAATCAGCCTGGGCAACACAGCGAGACCCCGTCTCTACAAAAAAAAAAAAAAAAAAAATCAGCCTGGTGGCATGTGCCTGTAGTCCCAGCTACTTGGGAGGCTGAGGTGGGGCGACTGATTGAGCCCAGAAGGTTGAGGCTTCAGTGAGCCTTGATTGTGCCACTGTACTGCAGCCTGGGTGACAGAGTGAGACCCTGTCTCTAAACAAAACAAAACAAAAGCCCTCTTTGTATTAAATTTCAAAATTTCCCCCTTTTGGAGGATAAAAGACAGAAGAGAGGTCTCTGCTGGCACAGAAACCAGCAGCGAGATCACTCTGCCTTCCTTTCCCTTGGATTCGTGGGCATGTCTCCTGCTTAGGGTGTTTTCTTATCCAATGGCATCTTTTGCCTCCTTCTCTCCCTGGCCACAGGGATGCGTACCCCACGTGTGAGGTGGTTGATGTCCAGCTGTGCTACAACGTGGCCAAACTGATCTACCTGTGCAAGGAGAGGTGAGTGGCGGGCGGGCTTTGCGAGATGCCCACTCCCTCCTTGCTGGCCTTGCATCCCCCAGCTAAGAGGGGAGGAGGGAAGCCCTGGACTCCTCCTTCTCCCCTAGCAACCGATGGTTGAACTGTGGGTGTGGGGGTCTCTGCCACAGGATTCTGAATCTAAAGTTTGTGCCCCTGCTCCCACCCCTACAGAAAGAAGACTGAGAAGAGCCTGACCTATTACACGAACCTGCAGGTGAAGACAGGCCAGCGGACCCTCATCAACCCCAAGCCCTGTGGCCAGTTTTGCTGCTGCGAAGTGCTGGGCTGTGAGTGGGTAAGGGCCCCACTCCCCGGCTGGAAGCGCAGGCATTGGCTTGGGGGGGCCCCAGACAGCTGCTTGGGGCCACATCCTCCCAATGGGATGTGTCTTCTGGCAGGAAGACGCCATCTCTTACTATACGCGGATGAAGGACAGGCTGCTGGAGAGGATCACCGAGGAAGAATGCCATGTCCAGGACCAGCCCCTGGGAATGGCCTTTGTCACCTTCCAGGAGAAGTCCATGGCCACCTAGTGAGTGTGGGCACATCCCAGACCCCTTCTTGGATGACTCCCTGTTCCCCTCCAGATAACTGACTGTCCCTCTTGGGCAGAGATGGTACTGCTGACCCACCATCCCTGGGATTTATCTGTGGTGTTTCCTTCTCCTCCCTCAGCCACCCACACTCACTTTCGGCCAGCCCAGCCCATGTTTGTGTGACAGGTGGTGGGGGTGTGGGCAGCAGCCATGGAGTGGGTGATTCTGGCCAACCCTCTCAAGCTGATGTGGCTTGGCCCCACTGCCAGGCTCTTCCCTGCTGCCCTGGACCCATCCTGTTGGCTTCATGTGCCAGCCTTCCCCGACGGGAGATGGAGGCACCCTCCTTTCAGACATCTGCTCTGGACCACAGATCCTTCTGTCTGTGGCTCCCCACCTTCCCACAAACGCAAAGCTGTGGGAAAGACCCCTGAGGCACGCTGGGGCGCTCACTGCTGTCGGAAGCTCGACCCTGGGGAGTGGCTTTTCACAGTGGCCCGTTGCATGGGACTCTAGGCTCTCATGCCTGTGGTCTCAGTGTCATCTCGCCTTAGGAGCAGCAGGGGGTGGGTTGGAAGAGGGGTGCCGAAAGGAGGTGTCCAGCCACTGCCCCTCCCCCTGCCTTCTCTGCCCCGGGCATTGTGACACTGGGAATGGACTCACACAGGACTTCCTGCCTCCCTGCAGACACTGGGGCAGGAGGAAAGGGGAAGGCATCTGAGGCAGGAGTAGAGGGGCTGCTGGGCTCCTTATGGGAAGTTAAAGGAGGAAAAGCTGTGACCTGTTGAGATGGTGAGGGTTGAGGTGGGAGCCTTGAGGAGGGAAGCTTGGGAATAGGCAGTGTATAACGCGGTCTATTGCTACCTTTGGGCCTGGGGAAAAAGTGACAGAATGAAAAGGTGAGCCACTGGCTTGGCAGTAGCATTGATCAGAGCTCCAGCTTAACAGGCAGGGTGGAGGGGGATGGCCCTATGGAAGAGCACTGTGTTGGGATGTGTTGCCCTCAGTTTCCTTATCTGTAAAATGGGAATAGTACTCCCTTTCTTGCTGGTGGTTGCGAGGATTAAACAAAATTCTCCACACAGTGTGCTAGCATGGCGCCTCTTACATAGCATTACTCATAATACACTAATCACAACAAAGCAAAGGTCCTGTGTCACTGCTTGCCACTCCTACTCAGTCCTCACTTGCCACGGTAACCTGAGTAGCCTGGGCCTGGCTGTTTCTACATTTCCTTGCAGCATCCTGAAAGATTTCAATGCCTGCAAGTGTCAGAGCCTTCAGTGCAAAGGTGAGCCCCAGCCGTCCTCCCATAGCAGAGAGCTCTGTACCTCCAAGTGGACAGTCACCTTTGCCGCTGACCCTGAGGACATCTGCTGGTGAGCTCCTAGACCAGGGAGAGGTGGGAAAGAGGCCTGGGTTCCTGGTGGGAGCTGCCTATCACCTGGAGCACAGGTGTGACCTGGCAGTCAATGGAGATCTCCACACATCTGCAACTCTCTGGGCCATGATGCTGTGATGTGCTCAGTGTGGCCCAACTGGGGTATCTGCCCAGCCCTTCCCTCCAGTGTTCCTCCCTAGCATTCAAGTGCTACCCAGCAGAAATATAATGCCAACTCTGAATGTAATTTTAAATTTCCTAATAGCCATGCTAAAAAGGTAAAAAGAAACAGTGGAAATTAATTTTAATAATTTATCTCACCCAATATATTCAAACTGTTATTTCAACATGCAATCAATTTTTGAAAAATGTGAGATGTTTTACATTCTCTTTTTCACACTTAGTCTTCAAAATCTGGTGTGTATTTTACACTTCTAGCACCTCTCAATTCATACCAGCCACATTTCAAATGCTCAGTAGCCACATGCAGCTTGTGCAGTCTTACTTAGGTCCAGTGTCAGCCTGGAGCTGTGCTGGTGAGCTGAGCTGTGTCCATGGGGGCCATGGTGAGCCTCCAGTGCTGTGCTGAGGGTAAGGGAACCCAGTGCAAGACCCAGCGCAGCTGCCTGTCCAGCTCTGCCTCAGCTCCTTGCACGGAATGAGCTTGAGTTGCTCCTCTCTGCTCGGTTCTAGTTCTGCCTTCAACAGTTTTGCTCTTTGGTTCACAGGGCTTCCTAAACTCAGGATTGCTTTGTGGGTCTGTTCTTTGGGATGAGAGGCCAGGGCAGGTGCAAGCTATGCCTTTGCTCCTTTGTCCCTGCCTCCCTCATCCCTGCACCCCAGCCATAGCCCCCTTGAGAAGAATGTGTCATTAGTCACAAAGCATTGCAGATGTGTCTAAGAAATGCTATGCTGGGGCTGGGCATGGTGGCTCACACCTGTAATCCTAGCACTTTGAGAGGCTGAGGTGGGCGGACTGCCTGAGCTCAGGAGTTCAATACCACTCTGGGTCACATGGTGAAACCCTGTCTTTACTAAAAATACAAAATAATTAGCTGGGTGTGGTGGTACATGCCTGTAGTCCCAGCTACATGGGAGACTGAGCAGGAGAATTGCTTGAACCTGGGAGGCAGAGGTTGCAGTGAGCCGAGATCACACCACTGCACTCTAGCCTGGATGACTGAGCGAGACTCTGTCTCCAGAAAAAAAAAAAAAAAAAAAGAAGGCCTTGTTTGGCCTGCTTGGGTGCTCATGCCATCTCTTTGGGTAGGTTCTGGCCCCCACACTCTAGCTGGGGAGCCACATCTGAGAGAATAACCTTTGTTCCCTCTGAGCTCTCGGGGACCTAAGACTTGGCCTTTCTGTAGTTCAAGGTCAGTGCGGAGAACTTGCCCCCAGGCTAGTCTCTTGGTCTGCTTAAATCTGACCTTCTGACCCACCTAAGCCACGAGCACTGGGAGACAAGCCTGGAGACCTGTGTCCCCTCTCCCCCCTGCAGGAAGAACCTCTCTATCCAGGGCCTCCGCTGGTGGCTACAGTGGCTGGGCATCAACTTCACCCTCTTCCTGGGGCTGTTTTTCCTGACCACACCCTCCATCATCCTGTCCACCATGGACAAGTTTAATGTCACCAAACCCATCCATGCGCTGAATGTGAGTAACTGTTCTGCAAGGCCCCTCCCAGGAGAGCTGGTGAGAAGAGGGCTTAGTGGGTGGGGAAGGAATGGGGACAAGAGTGGGGTGTATGCGGGAAACTAAACCAGGGGGTCATGTCGCTCAGCTCACATCCTTGCTTTTAAGCCCTGAGCAGGCATGGCCATGTTTATTTCAATGTCTTTATAGTAATGCCATACACACACACACACACACACACACACACATTATATGTATATATATACACACACACATGCATACATATATATTTTAATAGACTGTATCTAAATACTCAATGGTGGGGACCATTTGAGTTGAATGAGGTCTATTCAGTTTGGTAGAAATTAAGCATCCATTAAAAATTGTGTAGATTTTGTGGCACCCATGCAGGGCTCCTGACAGAAGCAGGGATGTACTATTGAGGCATGTCTATCATGGACACTACGGGGAGTGGCCAGGAAGGAAGGAAAAGAGCTTCGTTGATTGGAGGTGGCAGGATCACAAATTATTTATTTTACATTTTAGTTGCTAATGACCTTGTTATAAAACTATTCTGGGGCCAGGCACGGTAGCTCACGCCTGTAATCCCAGCACTTTGGGAAGCCAAGGCAGGCGGATCACCTGAGGTCAGGAGTTCAAGACTAGCCTGGCCAACATGGCAAAACCCCGTCTCTACTAAAAAATACAAAAATTAGCCAGGTGTGTTGGTGGGCGCCTGTAATCCCAGATACTCAGGAGGCTGAGTATCTCCCAGATACTCAGGAGAATTGCTTGAACCGGGAGGTGGAGGTTGCAGTGAGCCGAGATTACACCACTGCACCCCAGCCTGGGCAACAAGAGCAAAATGCCATCTAAAGAAAACAACAACAACAACAACAACAAAAAACAACAAAAACTATTTATTCTGTATAGGTAATGAATGATTTTCAAAAATCTTACATGAGTCAATGAGATAACAGCCAAACACTCAACTGGCATTTACTCAAAAAGCTATTGGTTTCTCATGATTAACTTTGCCAAGCCATCTCCCTAAATTGTTTTTCTTTTTAAATTTCACTTTGCATTTGGTTACTTATTCTCTGGGAAAGCATACTGGGCAGGAGGGCCTCCTTGTCCTCACTTTGCCATTCTCCCCATCTGATGAATTCTGAACCTCAGTTTTTCATCCAAGGACTGGAGTTAAAACACCTGCCCTATTATACAGGACACGAGGCTGTTGTCATGATAATCAGTGAGCTGATGTGTGGTTGAAGCTCTTATCTGACTCCATAAATAGTTTAAAACTACCTAAGTATAAATTCAGCAGTTTTGTTTAAGATTTGAAGCAGGTATTATAAACATGCATTCCTTTGCCAATCTTTTAATAGAGGGACAGGCTTATTCTTTTGAGGATGGATCTGCTGTTAAGAGCTCCCCTTTGTCTATTTTACATCAACCACTCCTTATTTCATTGTTTTGTGATTCCAGTGTTGCCTTCTTTAAAGTAAATGAAGAATTTAGATATTTGCAGAGCCATTCTGAATATAGAAACTTCCTAGATCGCATATCCCTTGATCTTTTATCGTTAATTTACTCTCATCTAATTAACAGCGTTTTTTTTTTTTTTTTAGAAATTGACTTTTATCAAGTCTTTCCAAAGTATCCAACTTAGTTTTCAAAGAAAATTTCTCTCTATTTTTATGTTCATCTAATAAGTGACAGTAATAAGTCAATCAGCTCATGTAATCACAGTAACAAACAGCAGGATTGTGGACACACACAGTAGAGTCCTGATATGCTGCAGCTGGACCAGTGGGAGCTGAGCAGGCAGGGCATCCCCTGCCCGCCCCACGCCCCCAGCCAGGACTCCAGGCCTTCAGTGTTCAGTCTTCCCATGGCATCAGTCATTTGTTTTGTATAGGGAGCAGAGAAGGTTATTTAATCTGTTTAGTCAGGTAAGTGGCGTTTACTTGTATGTGAAATTGCTTTCTTTGCTGTGCTGTGAGGAGGTATACAAATATAAGGTGCTGTTACTGATTATTCAGCCAACATTTATGGACTACCAGCTCTGTACCTGGCACAGTGTTGGTTCTGGGGGTCAGAGATGACAAACTCCTACCCCAGGAGTCCACTGAGCGACCGTGCCAATAGGTCATGGCCTCAGAGCCGTGTGGCCCACGGCCCCTGTGACTCTCTCTCTGCTGTGGACCTTTCTCCTAGAACCCGATCATCAGCCAGTTCTTCCCCACCCTCCTGCTCTGGTCCTTCTCGGCTCTGCTCCCCTCCATCGTCTACTACTCTACACTGCTGGAGTCTCACTGGACCAAGTGAGTACCTGGGAGTCCTGAGGCCCTGCCCCTAAGACGTATTTGTCTGACCGCTCCCTTGTCCACACCCTGTCCCCCAACTGCTCAGCCAATGGGCACATGGCAGGGGCCTCACTGGGGGCACCTGGAGCATCTGGGGGACTGTGAGTACTCACCTTTGACTTCCTGCAGGTCAGGGGAAAACCAGATCGTGATGACCAAAGTCTACATATTCTTGATCTTCATGGTGCTGATCCTGCCCTCCCTGGGTCTCACCAGGTATATGCCACCACCTCCTGCTGTAAATTCAGAATAAGAGTCACATCAGGAGAGCACTGTCCCCAGGAGAATGCAAATGGTTTGGTAGCAGAAGCAAACCTCTAACAATATCTAAGTGTGTCGCAACCTCTTGGCGTGCAGTAGGGCTGGGTCATTGATTCTTCTGGCAATATGATTGTTCTTCTTTAAAAAAGAAAATAACACCATATTGGTCAGGCTGGTCTCGAGCTCCTGACTCAGGTGATCCACCCGCGTTGGCCTCCCAAAGTGCTGGGCTTACAGGCGTGAGACTGTGTCTAAAAAAAACCAAAAAACAAAAAAGAAAGAAAAGAAAAGAAAAAACAGCTTGAAAATTTTGTGGCCAGGCACGGTGGCTTATGCCTGTAATCCTAGCATTTTAGGAGGCCGAGGTGGGCAGATCGCTTGAGTCCAGGAGTTCCAGCCTGGGCAATATGGCGAAACCCCGTCTCTACAAAAGAAAAAAGAAAATGAAACTTACCAAGGACCTTCCACTTAGGGAGGGCCTCATTATGGCTTTGTTTATCTCAAGGAAGGAAGTTTCTGGTTTTTTTTTTGTTGTTGTTGTTGAGACGGAGTCTCGCTCTGTCGCCCGGGCTGGAGTGCAGTGGCCGGATCTCAGCTCACTGCAAGCTCCGCCTCCCGGGTTTACGCCATTCTCCTGCCTCAGCCTCCCGTGTAGCTGGGACTACAGGCGCCCGCCACCTCGCCCGGCTAATTTTTTGTATTTTTAGTAGAGACGGGGTTTCACCGTGTTAGCCAGGATGGTCTCGATCTCCTGACCTCGTGATCCGCCCGTCTCGGCCTCCCAAAGTGCTAGGATTACAGGCTTGAGCCACCGCGCCCGGCCAGGAAGTTTCTGTTAAAGCAGACTGTGACAGGTCATGCTGCAGTAATGCATCGTTGAGAACAAAAGTCGATCTCGGGCTTTGGCCTGTTTTTAGAGCAAAAGAAAATGAAAGCATATGTAGTGACAATATGGAATGCTGGAAATAAACTCTTAGGGGGTTCCTTTGTTTTTCAGTCTAGACTTTTTCTTCCGGTGGCTCTTTGACAAAACTTCCTCGAAGGCTTCCATCAGGTTGGAGTGAGTATTGCCAAGTTGAGTTTTGGAGCCATGGCTCTGGGTGAGAGTCCCACAGGGGCTAGGGCTGCAGTGGGGTGGGTAGGGGTGCTTGTAGCCTATGCTTCCGAACAGGCATCTTTCTCCCCAGACAGCAGGGCTTGGGGCCTCACCTCCACCCTGCCAGGTTCCTGGTAGACACCGTGGGAGCTGACCCACTTTGTGCTGTGCTTGCAGAAATGTGGTTAATTTTTTAGGCCAGAACTCAATTAGCAGCTGTCTCATTCATTCTTTGAAACTTACTGAGCACAGAGCCACATGGGGAGAAGGAATTGCTGGGTCTCAGTGGTGCCAGGGAGTGGGGAAAGGAGAATAATAATTAAACATGGCAACCGGGATGCCTCTGGGCTCTGGGGATTATTTTTGCCAGAATAGAATTAAACTTACTGCCGATGTATCCTTGTTAGTATTTTAAACTTACACCATGCCACTTAACAGTAATAGCTATTGTTTAAGAAGGCACTACGCTAAATGCTTTATGCATCTTTTTCTCACTGAATCTTTACAATGAGCTATGAGGAAGATACTATTATTCTCTCCATTTTACAGATGAGGAGACTGAGGTTCGGGGATGTTGAATAACTTGCCCAAGTCTACCCAGCCAGTTAAGGAACAGAGCTGGGATTCAACCCCAGCCCCTACAGACTATACGTTAGGTCTTAATATAGGCCCAGAGGCTTGGCATTGACTTTCCTAAAAGAATGTGCTTACCTGTAAGGATGGGGTGAGTTATTTTAAATGAGTTCTTGCTGAGTAAGCTGATGAGTTGGGAGCTGGCAGCTATGACAGACACACATACATACAACCAGCAATAGTCTAAGTTGACAGTGACTTTCAGATTGACAAATCCAGTGACTAACTCAATTCTCATCTTATGATCTATCAGCGACATCTGACACATTTATCCAAGCCTTCCTTCTCGAAGCTCTGCCTTGGCTGTCTCATCCGGCGGCATCCTCTTGTCACCCTCCTTGGTGGGTTCTTTCCCATCTCCCCAACTCTAGATTTTGGCTGCCTGAAGGCTCAGCCCCCAGTTCTGGGTCCACACTGCCTCTCTAGGTGACTTCAGCTGAACCCATGGCTTCCATGCCATGAGACTGCTCCTGAATTAACTTATGCGGACAACATCCACATTTATGCCTCTAGCCTGCACCTCCAGGCTGATAACCCAACTGCCCACCTCAAATTCCAGCTGGAGTTTTACTGGGTACCACGGATGTTACCTGCCCAAAACCAGACTCCTGACTTTTACCCTCAAATCTGCTACTCTATAACTTTCCCCATTCCATATTGTTTTTCTAACTGTTTTGGCAAAAAACCTCAAAGTTCACCTTGTTTCCTTTCTATCCCTCCCATGCCATACCCAGCCTATCAGCAAATCCTGACAGCTCTCTCTCTAGAGTAGATCCAGAATCCCTCCATATCTCACCACCTCCATCACAACTGCCCTCGCCCCACATGGGGATCACACAGCGGCCATCTGCGTAGTCTTCCTGACCCCATCGGAACAGATCCCTTGCCCTGGGTCTGCCCCCAGCCCCTTTCAGCCTTGTCTTCTGCCTTGCCCCAGCCCACTGCTGTCCAGCCCCACCTGCCCTTTTGTTCTTCCTGGATGTGCAGCAGACGAGGGCATCCTCAGGCGTCTTATATGTTGTTCCCTTTCCCTGGAATCCTGTCTTCCCAGGTTTTGGGATGACTTGCTCCTTCACTTCTTCACATCTCTGCACGAGTATCACCTTGTTAGAAAGGCTCCTCTAACCCTTGTATAACATAGGAACCCTCCCTGCTTTATTTTCCTCTAGGACTCACCACCCCCGGCATATGGAATATTTGTTTGTTTGCTTCTTTGTGCCCCCAGCTAGAATGTGAATTTCAAGAGAGTGGGGGCAGGGGCTTTGTTCTGTTCTCAATGTCTGGAAAGGTACTTGGCACACAGATGTGTTCTCCAAATATGTGCTGAATGAACGGAAGACTATACAGCCCTCCCAGGGGCTTTCTGCTCCTGCCCAGCCTAGGAGCCCCTCCTCTCCCTCCAAGAGTGGCTCTCAGCTCACAGACCTGGGCCCCGGTTTCCCCAGGTGTGTCTTCCTGCCTGACCAGGGCGCCTTCTTTGTGAACTACATCATCGCCTCGGCCTTCATCGGCAATGGCATGGAGCTGCTGCGGCTGCCAGGCCTCATCCTCTACACCTTCCGCATGATCATGGCCAAGACGGCTGCCGACCGCAGGAATGTCAAGCAGGTGCCATCCCCTGGGCCCAGGGCTGTGCCTCCGACTCCCTCCCATGTCCCCCCTTCACTGACCCGAGGGCCTCTCACCCCCACTACCCCCGCTAATGGGTAGCATTTACCCGACTACCCACTAATGCAGGCACTGGGCTAAGTGCTTCTCAAACCCGGGCCCAGGCAGGCGTGGTCTCCTCCAGCCTCCTCTCTAGCTCACAGGCTGGAGGAGAGAGTTTGGGACTCTGGCATTTGAAACAGTTTGATCACACACATACATACATACAACTCAAACCAACAGACTCTTTTTCCATGGGTGCCCATTTGCATAAATTCTTAGCCAAACCCCATATGTCAAAGGCATTTTTGGCTTATGGCATTTATTCCAGGATTCCCTGAACCGGAGGGTGTGGGATTCTCTTTTCTTCTCCTCTGCCATGGTGGACACTGCGCGAGGAAAGTGGGAGAAGTGCTGCATTCCTTCATTTCATTCTCAGCCCCTTATGAGCCGGGCACTGCTAGTATCCCGATTTCACAAAGGCACGAACTAAGCTGGCCCAGGATCCCCTGCTAGAAGGGCTGGAGTCACGAGGAGTCACTCTACACCTCTTCCCCGACCACCTCTTCTCTCCAGGGGCTCACACGCCTGTTGGGTGGACAGGATTGGAACGAAGGGAGCACTAGCAAACACGCATCACCGTGCCTCAGGAGGGCTGGGTGCGCTCAGTGAAGCAGGGCAGGCTGGGAGGGATGGGAAGGACCTTGGGAGGCGGGGAGCCACGCATCTCCTATTTCCAAAGTCCTCTACCCCGCTCTCCCCTCACCACTTGGAGAGCACAAAAGGGTGTTTGAAGTGGAACAAGTCCATGAGCTCCTCACCACCTCCTTCTCCCAGAACCAGGCCTTCCAGTACGAGTTTGGAGCCATGTATGCATGGATGCTGTGTGTCTTCACTGTCATCATGGCCTACAGCATCACCTGTCCCATCGTTGCGCCATTTGGTGAGTGGCCCTGGAGCCTCTCCCAGGGTACGTGGACGGCTGATTGCACCAAGCCTCTCGGGGACAGCTAACAATTGTGCCCAGGTTGGAGTTCCCAAAACCACAGCCACAAGAGCCACAAGCTGTCAAAGACCCACGTGACACCAAATTTCACTCATTTCTTTCTTTTTTTGTTTTGAGACAGGGTCTCATGCTGATGCCCAGGCTGGAGTGGCATGATCTTGGCTCACTGCAACCCCCACCTCCTGGGCTCAAGCCATCCTCCCACCTCAGCCTCCTGAGTAGCTGGGATTACAGGTGCCCACCACCATGCCTGCCTAATTTTTTGTATTTTTAGCAGACACGGGGTTTCACCATGTTGGCCAGGCTGATCTTGAACTCCTGACCTCAGGTGATCCACCCACCTCAGCCTCCCAAAGTGCCGGGATTACAGATATGAGCCACTGTGCCTGGCCTCATTCATTTTTAAATGAATTCCTCCCACTGGCCCTCAGCTAGGACCTCTCTCAGTACTTCTGGTCTGAGGTTCTCTGCCCAGTGACCACGTCGTTCATGGTTGATTTCTTTAGCAGCAAGTAAAACAGTCACAATCAAAGCTCTTGTGCTGCTTTCACTCCGGCAGATGCCTGCCTCCAGAATCATCTTGGAAAGAGGCTGTTTCACACTTGGATGTCTGGCCTCAATTCCTCCCCAGCCCTTCCCATGCAGAGCCCCGTATGGCATGCTCCCACACCCTATCCTACAAGGCAGGTCTTGTTTCTATTCCCCCTTCACAGATACAGAACTTCATATGTTGTTAGTAAGCAGGAGAACCAGGATTTGAACTCAGGACTGTTTAAAGACCAAGGTCCTGGCCACTGAAATAAAAAAAAAAAAATCCTCTTGAGCTGGCAGATGAATGAAAGGCTCTA